TGAGACTTATCTCCTCTAATTTTGATACCTGTTAATATAATATTGGTGGAGAATTTATGGTTTGATTCTGTGCCTGGCGATTGAAAGATACCGATGTTGGTGATTGGCTTCACCAATTTTAGACCGATGCATGTCTGATTTTAACACTGCATATTATAAAGTGATGGTTTGTTTTTTGTTTTGTTTTTGTTTTTTTTTTCATATTGCTTTCGTCCTTTCCAGAACGGAGGCGAGTGTCTGCGCGCGTACGTCTCTGTGGCCCTCGAGCAGATCGCCCAGTGGAGGGATGAACAAGGCAACAGCGGCCTGTGGTATGTCATGCAGGTGGTCAACCAACTGCTGGACCCCCGGACCTCGGAGTCCACGGCGGTCTTCGTTGGGAGGTTGGTGTCCACTCTGATCTCTCGGGCTGGAACAGAGCTGGGGGATCAGCTGGACCACATCCTCAGAGCCATTCTGAGCAAAATGCAACAAGCCGAGGCTCTGAGTGTCATGCAGGTAGGGAGGAGAGATGACCACACGAGGGGAACATCAGTGAACCAGAATATCACAGAAAAACATGGAAACTCATACAATGATTGATTTTGCTCTCAGCAATATACTTCAAGTGTTTTTTTAAACTTGATTATGGCTTGAAGAAAATGAAGACCAAAAGTCCTGTTGCCCTGCAAAATGTTAGAAAATCATAAAGGGGGAAAACTGGGTACGGGTATTTCAGCCTGCTTGGAAGTATTTCCATGTTTTGTTCAGTATAAAGACTCAATATGTGGTGGGGGCTCATTTGGCATGAATTACTGCATCAGTGCTGCAGTTGAAGTGTTTAGGAAGCCTGTTTCTATTTATCTTCATTATTCTTCTCATAGTATTGTCTGGCATCTCTCATCTTTTTAAAGTTGTTTATAGGTTATCTGTTTACTTCAGATGAGTTTAGCATGACAGTCATTAAATTAGGTGTTAGTGCTGTTTAGCAGCGTGTGCAGAAGACCAACTTGGGTTCTTCTTTTGGTCACTGAGCAAGAATCTAGTTCTTTTTCTCGTTAGTCCAACTATGATGCTTCTGCTATAGTCTGGTTCAGAAGTAACTAAATGCAAGTAAAGTGCTAGTAGTACCTGTTTTATAGATACATCTGTGTGCAGATGCCCTTCATGTCCTGAAGTTTACACAAACTTCTGCATGGCCTTTGTGTACTTTTTTCCTTTTCAATCTCTCCTATATAATATAATTTCCTAAGAAGGTAACTAAGGGTTTTCATTAGTTATCCAGATGAATCTAAAATAGAAATAACCCTGTGTGCAATAATTTCTTATCAAAGTAATGAAGGTTGTAATGTTTTGATGACATTCTGATTCACTGAGACTCTCCTGTATAGGCAGGCATCCATGTTTTTTTCCTCCTGTTGTTTTATCTCCTGTTTTGTCTCCCATCTTGTCCACCTTTAGTCCCTCATCATGGTATTTGCCCACCTGGTTCACTCCCAGCTGGAGCCTCTGCTGGAGTTTTTGTGCAGCCTTCCAGGACCGACGGGGAAGCCTGCCTTGGAGTTTGTCATGACGGAGTGGATGAGCCGACAGCACCTTTTCTATGGACAGTACGAGGGTAAAGTTAGGTAGGAAAACTCTTTTCCTGCAGAAGTCTTGCTTTTCAGTTGCTGCAGGGTTTGGATTGATTCATGCTGTGCTTTTAGTTATCTGATCTTGCCTCCCACAAATGTTCTCCTTCTATGGCGCTTGTCTGTGCAGCACTGTGGCGCTGTGTAAGCTCCTGCAGCATGGTATCAACACAGATGACAAGCGGCTTCAGGACATCATGGTGAAGGGAGAGGAAATCTACAGCCCCGATGAAGGCATTCGCACTCGCTCCAAAGCTGCCAAAAGTAAATCCACATAATTCAGAAAGTAGACGATCAATAAATCATTTTCTTATTTTAAAGGTCAGATATTTTAAACATAGTGAGAGGAAAACTAAGGTTGTTGTTTTTTATTGTTTTAAATTATTTTTATTAGAACCAGAGCGCTGGACAAACATTCCTTTACTGGTGAAGATCTTTAAACTGATCATAAACGAGTTGTCAACGGTGGTGGAAGCTAATGCCAGCAGGACCAACGCCGCAGACTGGAGCCAAGGTGAGGAGAACGATAAATGGCTCCACGTTTGACCACCCAGTATAGACCTTCCATTGGCAACCCCCCCAATAAAACCGAAACCAACCCTTTAAGAGCCTTTCTTTTCCTTCTTTTTTCAGATTCCAGTGGCATGTGGGACGACCAGGAGGAGGAAGATGGAGAGGACGAAGAGGAGGATGAAGGATTGGCAGGGCAGCTACTCTCTGATCTGATTTCATCCAACAAATATGGTAAAGCACACCTGCTGAGTAGATGGGCTCCTCTACTTTGAACCTGGATTTTAATTTTTTTCCATTTTTTTATTCTAACAGAGGACGATTATTATGAGGATGAGGAGGAGGATGATCCAGATGCCTTGAAAGATCCCATTTATCAGATTGATCTGCAGGTACATGCTCAGTTTTTATTTCCTTTGTCTTTTTGTCCATTTATCTCTTCTTCCTTCTCTTGTTTCTTTAGATTAAATGTTTAATCTTCACCCCTGTAAAATTGTTCTGGTAATTGATAAAGAAATCTATTTGCACTTTAAAATTGTGTAAAAACTGAAAGAAAATGCTGTAAATTTATCAGCAAAAGAATAATATTTATGTACCTTATGTTGTGGTTATAAATTTCTTAAGTTTCATCTGTAAACCCGCCCCCTGTCTCTCCTCAGGCTTACCTGTCAGACTTTCTGATACAATTCGCTCAGCAGCCATGTTACAGCATGTTCTCCAGCCACCTCAACAACGCTGAGAGACAGACCCTGCAGTCTATAGGCCTGTAGCTTTACTGTTGGATGCTCCAACACATCGTCCATCAGCATCACCCTGAAATGTCCCTGTATCGCCCTGTGACGCCACTCGTGATGAATTTAAGGCTGATTGAAAGGACAGAAATCGACAGGCCAAGGAGAACAAGTGGGGAAAGGACTCATGCACTTACCTTTGATCTCAGTTTTTTAGTTTATGTAAAAGATGAGATGAAGGATCATACTAATAAGAGACTCCATCAGTCTCATCCTGAAAAGGACAGGCATTTTCTGCTATGGAAGAAAGACCTTCAGCCTGGACTAAAAAGGTAAAGGGTCTTTACCTGGAAGGACTGAAGAACCTGAACCCCGGGGCCGACTGTTTAACCAAGTGCTGTTTGTAATTTAGCCTATCACATTTGTATTTCAGTGGAAATGCATCACAGTAAGTTCTTCAGAAAAAGACGTAACACTGTCTGAAGGAAAAAAAAAAACTAACTTTTTAGAGGGAAGGAGTCTGTGGTGGCCTTATATTCCAGAAAACTGTTTGACAGGAAATGCAAAGTTCTCCGACCAGCTGTCATTTCTCTGGGTTCCATGGGTAGATGAGAACTTACACTGTTGCCATTTTGATTCAATGCTTTGTCATTTCATTGTATCTATTAAAGTTTAGAATAAAGATATTTCTAAATAAAAGCTCCTAGAAGATGATTATTTACGTTTTTTTTTTTCTTTTGCATTGATAATTGAACTCTAGTGTACAAAGTGTACAAACCAGTTGGAAAAAATTAAGTACTTCGGTGCCTTTACTTCCTGGATGAAATCATCTTGGGTTTTTGAAAGTTAACTTCTGAGTTGATGTCCTTTTTGCCAGTTTTAAATATCAATGTGGTTTTAAAACGAACGTCTTTCTCAACTCTCTCAAAATATTGCATACAGCACTATATTTGAGCAAGAAAATAAATTTTCCTTTTAGGTCGTTACGTAAAAACCAACAGTTGTATCCAAGTATGTATCATTAAGGTTACAAAATAAGAATTTAAGAAATCTGAGTTTGGAAAAGTATGGATTTCTGACAGATTTGAAGAAACTAAATGGGTTTGTCTTGGTGTTACACTTTAGTTATTTATTAGAGACAAGTATATCTCATTTGAGCAAGAATAGAGTCCAGCTTTTCACTTCAAAATAAACTAAATTTCCTTTTATCTGCTCAGATTGTCAGGCTGAGAAGTGATGGCCATTTTTGTTCAAATAAGTTTGAATTGAATAATGATAAAAAAAGAAAACCTGCAAGAGTTTTCCTCCAGAGAAACTACTAATATGAATAAGGATAGTGAAGAAAAACGTATAGAGAGGTGATTCCAATAGATCTTTGTGATTTCTACCTTTTTAAAAGTGGTAGAAAACATCAGACAAAAAAAATTAAGACAAGGCAAAGCTAATTTTTTTTACTTTAGTGAACTAGAGGACATACCAGCCTAAACTTTACTTGGTTGACATCAACTTGTACATTATTTATTAGGAAATATTAATGGCAAAGATGAAAAAGGGGAAAAAGTATGTATTTTCCTACACTGGTATGTTTCCTGCAGAAAACATTTAGTAATTTTTACCTTGTTCATTTTGTAATCAAAAATAAACACGCCTCCTATACCACTCCAAGTGCTTTTTTTTGTTTGTTTTTCATGGAAGCCAATTTTTAATACTCTGATTAAAATTTATTATTAGATTAATATAATTTTTGGATGAATAAGCCATAACTTTGAGATACAAACTGGTATTTATTTCTTTTTTTTTTGTTGTGGGCTTACACGATTTTTGACTGATCCCTCTGATAACTGATATTTGTTGCTATATTAAAATTCAGACTGCTAAATCATTCCTCATCCCACGAGGGCGGGGTGAGAAAAGGGATGATGCATTCAGGACACCTAGTTAGACAGGACTACTAGTCTAAATATTATTTTTTTCAAAAAATAAAAAGATCTCTTTGTAAAATTATACAAGATGCGAAATGTTAGCTACAAATTTAAGCGTCTGGCAAGTTTTAAATCAGCTTCCATCAGGTAGAGGGCGATTGGGTTTTGCTTTTATCCTCCAACCCCTGAATGCAACGTCCTATTGCTGCTCGGCGAACAGCGTCACCGTCGCGATGAGTCGTTTGGACGGATAAAATCAGCAGTGTTCAACCCTGTCCCGTCTCACATGTCGTGTTCCCTAACCATCCTGGATTATGCCTGATATCGGCCGCTAGTCGGGCCGCTTTCGCTGGGTTCTAAGGAAGAACTCCCTTTTCTGTTTCTAAGACTCCCCGCTTCACTCTTTCACCATGGAAATGGTCTTTCAGGCGAGCAAAAAGCCCCTCATTTGGGTGACTTTGGGGCTGCTCGCCATCGTCTTCTCCACCTCTCCGGGTAAGATTAAAAGCTTTGTGCGAAGGCCGTATCATAGCTAACGGTAACGCTTAGTACAGCGGCTAACTATTTAGCTTACCTGCTAACCGCAGACCGTTAGCCAGTTTTATTTCCAGCTTCTTTTACTGAAATTATCTAATGTCTCTCTGACAACCATCGTAATATCAGAGTTACTGGTCTACATTTAATTATTTGTTTTAATTACACAATATCACTTCGCTAACTTGTGTTTATTTACTGTTTATATTACATACAATTATTAGCTGTAAGTAAACCTAAAAAATGTTTATTAATCGATATTTATTACTAAAACAATGCGTTTAATGGCTAAAATCTAAAGGCTAGCTTAATTAAACAGTTTAATTGGGGTGAAATAACAAAAGTTACTAAAAAAGCGCACCAAGTGATTGGTGTATTTTCATTGGAATCTATTCATTTATTGTATTTATTTGGAATTTTCATTTAATTGTAAAATGTAGAATTTTTGGGTTTCTGCATTTTCTTTCCTTTTAATTTTTGGCTTTTAGTTTCAATAAATGCGAATAAAATATATTCAGTAGTTTTTATATAAGGGTTATTTTGTTTCAAAACTATTGTAAGTGTGAATTTTAAGTTGTAGAGAGAGATATTTCTAAGTTTTGTATTTGTAGAATAAAAAAAGATTTGTTTGAATTTGTTTTGCACCATTTGTTTTAGATCAACTGTAGCACAAGTGAATGGAAGACATTTTGATGTGCAATTCACAGAACACAATTTGTGTACTTGTATTCAAGAATTTGAAGAGGTGTAACTTCTTTTTGTAACTGTGATAAAGAAAGAAGAAATCTACAATTACAAAACACAAAGTTACAATGCACAAATAGTTTTGCAACAATAGTTCTGGATCATTTGGAGCAAAACTGAGAATGGAAAAGTTTTTTGATGTGCAACTTGTAGAACAGAATTTGAGCATGTGTGGGAAAAAAATGTTTTGCACAATTTGCATTTTTTTTTATTCTACAAATACAAAACTTATGAATTAACTCTCTACAGCTTAAATTAAATTTACACATACAATGCACAAATAGTTTTGAAAAAAAAAATTACCTTCATATTTTTATTCTCAGTCAGGAAGTCCATCATCATAGATGTTTTTTATTAAGATTTTAATAGTTGTTTTAGATGGTTTCAACCCTAAATTAGGTGATTTTTCTCAACTGTTCCTTAGGGTGGCTCACAAAATGACTTGATTAAACTGGTGGGGTTGACTTGGATCACATTTGAACTATTGTCAATAAAAACTAAATTTAAAGTATCACCTAATGATTAAAATCAAATAATTGTCTTAATTTGAAGATATAAACTGAAGGGAACCAAGTCATTAACATCAGATTGCTGCTTATTGGCCAGCGATATTAAAAATTGCATTAAAAAATGTGTCAAGTACCCAAAGTAATTTTTTTTTCTTATTCAGTTAAAGCGAGGGATTTACAGATATGTTTGTATGTGTTGTAATTCTTCAGCTTTGGTTATTTATAGGGCTGAAACAATTAATCCGATTAATCGATTATTGAACTAATCATCAACTAATTTGTTTATCGATTAATTGTTAACTGGCCTATAGAGAGAAACCCAACCCACACATATTTTGAAATTAAGATTTAATATGCTCTACCCGGAACTCCTTAAGTGTTGAAGTTTTAGTTTAACCTTGGTTTGATTCTCTAAAAGAACTCCTTTAAGAATGCTTTGGCCATCCGATTATTTATCGATTAATCAAAAAAAGTCATCAACAGATTAATCAATTAACAAAATAATCATTAGTTGAGGCCGTAGTCATTTAAAATGGCTGATAAGAGTATTTTTTTTAAATCAGCTGCATCTCTCTAATCGACTTAAGAACAGAGGATGACTGGAAGATGTTTTCACATCGTATCAAAATATTATTTATTGGTCTTAAATTTGTGATTAACTTGACAAACGGTGTCTTTATTTAGCTTAAATAACTAATAAAACTAAACATGTCATAGGGCCAAATGTGTGTTGTTCAGATGAACAATTAAAAGTCATCATCAAAATTTAGTGCCTTGGTTTTACTACATAAATAAACAACAGCCCTTGGTTGAGCTGATAAAGTATTGTTTTATAGTTGGAGATGCTTTATGTTACAGTCCTGTTTTCTCAAAATGTGGGAGAAAATGTATGAATTTTAGAGGCTATGTGACTACTCTGGCATATTTTAATTTTATAAATGCCTTGAAGGTTCTTGAAAAGAGCAAGACTTAACTTTATGAAGATAATTTGAAAGTTAGAGGGAGTTTGGAAAAGAAATTACAAATGAATACAGTATCTTTGAATAGTTTCTTTCTCCCAGAGGTGACATCTCCTCAGGTCTGAGGCTTGAATCAGACTTCACCCCCTGCCAAAGTGAAGAACAATGCACTGCAGCTCATGCTAGTTAAAACGAGAGACACATAAGGCTGTTGTTTAAAGCTTTTATTTCCTTCAAGTCCAAAGCAGAAAATAAAATGTTTGAATGCATATTCAGGACAGCGTTACACTGTGACGAAACGGGCCACACGTTGCCACGCTTGGCCTCATGCGTTCTTGTTTCTGCCGTTTTGCAGTCAGTGGGAACGAGGACTGCCTGTGGTACGTGGATAAAAATGGCACCTGGCACAACGGCTTCGACTGCGCTCTCATTTCTTCCTGCTGCGGCAACTGCCACCGGCGCTACTGCTGCATGGACCCCTTCAAGATGATCACGGAGAGGGAGCAGAAACGCTGCATGCTCTTCCAGTTCAGGTGGGGACGCGTGCTGCAGCGGGGTTTCCTTTTAATTACCTGTTAATAATTTACTCGACACCACGATCTATGACCCGAGTTACAGACTCACGGACACACTTTGTTACTGACTTAAGGAAACAGGATATTTTCTTAAACGCATACAGTATTTATTAAACTGTGTATGAAATTATCATTTTCAAGTCATTATTTTGAACCAGTACTTTAGAACACCATGTTTTGACAAATTCTATTAAACATTTGAAGTGTCTAGTGTTAGTAGTTCTCTCACCTTAGCTTATTCACGATCAAAGCTCAATGTGAAGGACTGTAATACTCCAGTGTCTACCTGAGAGGCAGTTAAAGGCTGTGTCTGAACGAAGGGCTTATCTCTTCTTAGTGCGTTGGGATTGGACAGTGGATCAGGAACAAGTTGGGGATGGATGATCAAAGCCAAACCTGGAATTTTTTAAAACTTAAGCTGCCTGCTGTTTTGTTCCTTTCCTCTCAGTCCCAGTACTTTAGTCGGCATTGCGTCCTCCATTCTGCTGTTTGTGGCCATCATTGCTACCATGGTTTGCTGCTTCATGTGCTCCTGTTGCTACCTCTACCAGAGAAGGCAGCAGAGAGGCAGGACACCATATGATGGTGAGAATTTCTCTATTGATTTCTTTGAGGATTTGTTTTTAAGATTTTTTTCTTTAATAATTATTTTTCCATTTTTGCCCCAGCCCAGCACATCCCCATGGCCAGCTACCCAGTGGAGCCCATGCATGACGCATATGGAAAACCCATTGGACCGTCAGAGTATCCAGCTGCAGGTTATCCAATGGCACCCCAGTACTCTGGGATGCCTGTACATTACCCAGTGATGCATCCGGGACCTTACCCATCACACTCCATGGATCCGGCATACAGCCAAGGTAAAAACAAGGCATTTCTTAGTAGACTTATGATCCAAAAGAGGTGAACTCTGACATTTTCTGGACACGATATCAGATCATCAGAGCATTGAACAATATGTAAAAGCTACAGTGCCTCCGAAAGTATTCGCCCCCTTGAACTTTTCAACCTTTTGCCACATTTCAGGTTTCAAAGAAAGAGATAATGTCATTTTTTGTGAGGAATCTACAGCAAATTGCAAATCCACACTATGACAACGTGGGCCTTTGCGAGGAGTTAAGGGAGAGTGGTATGCAGTGTTTACATTTAAAACCAAATTTAGGCCTTATTATTATTATTACTAGACCTGAAACATCAAGATAATGCTTAAAATAAAGCCAGTCTGACAACAGGAAGTAGGCTAAGAAAAGAAGACATAATGCCACAATCGAAAGAAATGTTTATAAACACAATTTAAAGCATTGTTGACTTTTAATTGCTGTAGTTGAGGGAGTCTGTGATTCAGCAATAAGAAGATTGCTCAGAAGTTGGAGCCCAGTCTACCAGTATTATCCAAAGGCTCCTGATGAAGTCCATATTTGACTTACAGTTGCTTAAAAAAAATTAACTGCAGACACAGACATTAGCAGCCTCCACTCCTCCTGATCCATTTTCAGAGATGTTCTGTGAGGTTTTTAGCTTTTTTCACTATAACAAACAAAATCCTTTTTATGTAAAAGCAACTGGATATACTTTTCAACAGGACCTTGTTAGTTTTATCTGTTTTTATTGATGTTATTTTTCAGTGGAATTAAGTTTTCCTCTGATCAAAAATGTAGAGCAGCCGTTATCTGTAAGAGCAAAAACCTTTCCAAGCACTGTGGCAACATGTGAGGTTTGACATCAGCGTAAGACCTGCTGGATTCAAAGGAAAGTTTTTATTCTCACTGCAGAGCATCATAATGGTACGGAAACCCATTTAGCATGCAAAGCTGTTAGAATACCTACCAGCTGTTCATGGAAGCAGCTAAAAGTATAACTTTTCTGAGGAGATGGTAGAAACTGACTAAGTTAAGGTGACCTTTTAGTTTACCTGTGACCGCACAGTACTTTTTAAAAAAAGTATTTTCTAATATTTTATTTTTTTTTTTTGGCCTAAATGATGTAAAAATAAAAAATCAACACTGCTGGAAAATTGAGGTGACAAAGTTACTGATTAGGCATTAAGTCTTCTATTTATTTTCTTTTTTGATTCACAAATGTTTTTATTTATTTATCCAAATCTATAAATGGTTAGAAGTTCTAAGTTCTCATTTCTACCCATTCTGAAACCCTGTTTGTTAGTTAGTATAATAAACAAAGCTGGCATGAAAGAAACAGCAGTTTCTGTGGACATATTCATCAAATTGTAGATCTGTAACTCATGATTTTTTTTTCTTTTTAGGAAGAAGTAAACTTTTCAAATCTGTTATCGGTATGTTAAATGAAGAGACTGGCTGATTGTTCCATAGTAGAATAAGGCTGAGTGTTCATGGCTCTGTAACAACCTACAAAGAATGCCTGCTGATGATTTCGTTGTATGCCTAACTGATTCTGCAGCGTGTTTCGTACACTCTAACAATTAATCTTTTCCAGAACTCCTGCTCTTTGACTTAAAAAAATAATCAGGCCACAAATACTGCACCAGATTCAATGCTTTCAAAATACTGTTTCTGCTGGGTTTTTTCTTCCCAATGCATCATAGTTCATAATTTTTCTCTCCTTTTTTTTTTTTCAGCCCCACCACCCTATTCTCCACCTCAGTATCCTGGTCATTGATGGGAGAAAAACTCAACAAACACAACAGAGAGAAATGACTGAAAAGGGGGAGACTGGAGCCCTGTTGAAGATGTATGAACATTCCAATGCAAACCCATTAAAACAAAACTACAGCCCAACCAGAGGTGGTTTTAAATGAGGAGAAAAGGAGGCACTTTAATCTTTTTATTTTTTTTTCCTACCTTCTTACTGTTTATTAACAGCATTGTCCCACATTTGCACAGTGGTAATATCAATCAGGTTCTGTTCAATTATTTGCTTAGTTTAGCTCAGAACCAGTGTCACTTAAAGACAGTGCTCATTGGCTAACGGAAAACCAAAGTTCAAGAACTTGACCTGTGATGTACTTATTTATGTGTTAAAGGGGAAAAAACTCTAATTCTATTGTGTGTTTCTTAGATTTAAAGAACCTTATAACTGTCTGTTTAATGGCTGTTTTATTGCTGTGAAGCTTCTCATCCTTTCACGTTTCTCTCATTGCAGTAAGTTGGAAAACAAATGAGCTGCACGTTTCAATTATATTCTTTTTTTTTTTTTCTTCCAATTGTTAGTCTACATAAAAAAAAAACAACAACACAACCATTCGTCACCTGTTAGTTTGAAATGTACCTAATCTTTTTAGGATGTAGGAGTTGTGCAATTATTTCTGGACATGTTTTAAGTGACACCATCTCAGCATCAGCGTTCTTCCTCTGTAAAGATTAGCTTTCCTCCTCTGCTTCTTCTCTGGTTTAAAATCTGTCTTTGTATTTTAGGCATACTGCTACACAGAAAAGGTGCAAAAGTTTGCAGTTTTTTATTTTCTTGTAAAATACCTCTTATGGGAGTTTTACTGCTTGATTAAAACAAAGTCTACAATAAGGAAAGATGAAAAAGAAGAGAGAAATGTATTACATATTTTGTAAAGCAGTTCTTTGGTTTAATGTTTAATATTGTAACGACTTGTTTTATATTAGTGTACTGTTATTGTAATAGGATTCTTTTACTGAGTGTTTATTACTGAGGTTCCCTCTAACTGTGAATTACTCCTAACCATCTGGACATGCCTGGTAGAGATGCTCCCTTTAGGCTTTTCTTGGCCGATAGCAATTTCTGCTTTTCTTTGAAGCCTAAGGCTGCTGATTTCCATTTTGACAGTCCTTTTTTTATTTTCATTTTTGTAGGACTGTGACACAACGGGGGGAAAATATATGCTGCAGGTTTCTTGATGGAGGTAAAACCTTTCAATTTAACAAAAAAGGGGGATGAAAAGATTATCTCAGTGTATGCACAAAATTCATGCGTCCCATCCCCTTTTATCTTTTCATATATTGGCTTGACAAATAATTAATTCAACACGTCTGAAACATATGAATAGTAAAACTTTTCTGATCATATTTGACCCACTGTCTCCAGTCAGAGTTCTTTAGAGGAGAATTTTTCATCAAAGGATTGTCTTGATATTCTAGGAAATTGGCTCATAAGATTCTTTTTTTCCCCCACACATTATAATAGGAAGATTTATTTAAAGACTTTTAGGTATAGCAACAAATGAGACACCTAAAAGTAGGTAATGCTTGAGGTTTAGAAATAACCTAGACAAGTATTCCTTTTAAAGTTGCATGAGCCAGATGTATATGCAATGGCCAGATTTTCATTTATTGTTTGCAGTAGGCTAGAGAGGATCAAATATCAATTAATTTTAGTAGAAAAAAAGGAAAATTGGATAATGAGAAACTACATCACTGGTAGCCTGACATCTACTACCATAACATTAGGATATAATATAAATGCAGAGCAATAAATTGGAGCTGCAGGGATTAATGAGAATAAGATGGTTGGAATTTAGCTGGAGCACCAGATTCACCTCATTGTTTATACTGTGGATCTGGTTTCATTCTAATAGTTTGGGTTAATACTTCAATTCTTTTACCTAATTTTTGACTTCTCGTAATAAAAAGTATTGGATTTCAAGAAATGACAGCTTTTTACTGCAATATTTTATTTATATTTCCAGTTTGGCTTCTCTTTGCCGTACAGCCTGCTATGTGTTTCTCATCAGATGATTCCCCGGTTGGACTCCGTTTTATTTGTATTAACACGTTTAGAAAGAAAACACTACTGATCGGCTCGGACAATGGTCAGTGTTGTTCTGAATGAACTAGATGGAAGCCATCAGTACTCGAATTATTCACTGCTGTGTCCACTGGTACAGATTTGTTCAAGCTTGAGAACACTGGCTTCTCTTTTCCTCCCTTTCATAGGTGTTTTTAACCAACCCCATGAGCCTGTTTAAATGAAACTGACATGTAGGTGGAGACATGACTAGTCGATGTATGACTTTTATCTCCTGTCATATGGACATTATGACAGTGTAACATAAAATGAAATTAAAAGAAATTATTTCTATTAATAAAGACTTTAACTTTGGATGGTAAAAATGACTGTGTGTTTTGGTTTTCTTTTTTCATACGGTACTTGCTTTTATGTAAGAATTGAAAACAGGGTCATAGTTTGTTTATATTGATTTGACCACTAGGTGTCAATATTACCCTCCAATTATTCACAATGATTGTCCATTCTAAGTGAATGATCCCTATAAACACCAGTTTTAAACCTTACTCCAGTTAATGATTATTCCATTACTAATCTATATTTATTTATTTCAGTGCTAAGTCACAATTTGAGCCCTAGTTAAACCAGACTATATTGTAGGTATGATGGCATGAGTAAGTTGTATTGTTAGACTCCGTATAATTGCTTAATTCTAAAATGTCTCCAAATATTAGAACAGTCCTGATGTGTAGAGAAGTTATTCTGGTCTGCTTTGTAAAATTGAATAAGTGTTATGTTCTTATATAGTGTTAAAATCACAAGTTATAGATTACATCTATAATTTTAAAAAGCTAAAATCTTCTCTGAAGTGAAGTGAAGAAAATTTATGTTCCATTACAGATTTCATAGTCCTGGGCTCCCCACAGCCGAAACATTTAAAAGTAACTCTGTTAAAAGAGTTTAATACATAAAAATTATCCTAAACTTACAAATGAGAAAATTTATATTTATAGAAAGTGCTATATTATATAAAAACAGTTTTAACTGCCTTTGTCTGTACTGTTTTGAACAAAATCCAAATTGTCTGCTCTAAACCTTAAAATGTTCTGTTGTGTACCTTAATGGCACTCAATAGAAAGATGCAGCCTTTTTCTTTGCTCTAATATATATTTACCTAAAGCAAATACATACAAACTGAATCTTTTAAACATTTTCTTATATACTTTCTTATGTACTTTAACCTCTTTGAACTGTAGTAATTTCCCCTAAAGTTGTCAATACATTACTGTGTAGAGGTCAGGGGTAATACTTAGAAATGTACAACAAACCACTATTCATACTTTAGAAAAGAGCCATAAGAATAACGGATACTTCTGGTTATAGAGATCATACAGATACATTATTTTTAAAATTATAAACATCAAAAATGACAGATTCAGTTAATTTTCTGTATACACAAATCATGTATAGAGCAAGAAATAATTGACGACCTGGAAATATTCAGAAATAGCTTTTTGACATAAGTTGGGGGCTATAACTTAAGGGAGGAGTTAAACATAAACATTGACGGCCACATACAACATACATACAATACAAAAAGTTGGTATAGTAAATGGTGCAGTTTAAAAATCACTACAAAAAAGGATTTTCACCACTTCCAAGGAGGAAGATGTGCTTTATAAAACTGGTGTCCTGAAAATTAATTATGTGTTTGTTTATTATTTCACTTAATTTAATATAATTCCAATACCTGTTGGGTATTTGAAGGACTGTTGATTACAGTGTGTATGCATATTACCTTTTTATTAATATGGAAAGCGGGTTGACACAAATAAACAGTTGCTGTTGTTGTAAACTATTTGTCAATCTCTTGAAAGATTCTTTTGCTCAAATAAATAAAGAAATAAAGATAATTTGTGAAACACCAAAAGGAAATATCAAAATCCTGCTGAGGGGGAAAAACTACTACATTCATTACCCTTTCGAACAACGATTATGGTAAAATAAAACCGTTAAACAACTTATAGAAAACAAAAATAGATAAGTTATCATTATATATTAAATTAATAATTTTAGCTGGGTCTATCCTTCATTTGTATATAAATAGAAAATCCTTTTATTGCCCCTCAATGGGGAAATTGTAGGAATTGAAATTACCTATTCGATTTAAATGTAAATTTTATCTTAAAAACATCCAGAATCAGCTTTATGGATTAAAGCTTAAATGAAACGATAAAACTGAAGTTAAAATGAGCTGAAATAAACAGTGACTGGTCTCCTCTGTAAACAGAAACTGTGTAATAGGAAGTCTGTAAGTCTGCTCTGTAAACTCCAGCCCTTCCCATTACCTTTAAAGGAGAGTGTACCCTGAACTAAATATGGGCATGCACTTTAACTGGATTTCAAAGAATGTCCCAGCCTCACAATCCACTTTGATGATGGGAGCCTCTCGCAGTTTATCACTGGTACCCCTCACTGCAGCACGTTGAGTCCGGTGTCTTTGCAACCGGATTGATGCGTCTGCTGGCTTTTTGATGATCAGGACAGCAGGGCTTCAACGCATTGGAATACTGGCCTATAGAAGAACAGCATCTTGACTGAGGTTAAAAGGATTTACCCTCTGATCCCATAAGTTATTCTGAAGAATCCAGCCCAGAGATGTCTAGGCGAAAGGTGAGGGGACTGACCCGTACAGGTCGACAGGTCAGCGAGGACCCAGATCTGGACAACCTGCTGTCCACTCTCTCCCCTGAGGAAATGGAGGAGCTGGATAAAGACCTGATGAGTGTTCCAGACATTGGACCAGAAGATGGGAAGATCATCGTCACCCAAGGGGAGAGCCGTCCTTCTCAGCCACCTCTGAGCAACGATGTCCAGGACACGGCTAGACCAAGCAACACCAGAGGGAGACTCAGTCAGAGGGAGCAGTCATTAGAGGTAGGAAAAGAGACATGCATGGTTCAAAAGGAAATAAACCACTCAAAGTATCTAGATGGCTCTAGTCAAAGCAAAGCATTTTTACTGTGAGGTGGTCTTCTAATGGAGGTTATTTCTCATTAATCTTGGGCCAGCTGGACCCCATGCAACCTGAGTCCATCAGCTCAAAAATAGTGATCTCCCCAAGGTGACTTGTGTGCCAGGAAAAACAGTTTCCTCCTCTGAGGTCTACTTGCATCCACACTGAACTCCTTTATCATGACCAGAGAAGCAGCCCTTGAAATGTTTTTCATTTGACAGCAGCAAAAGGCCAGCTGAGAGTCGAGGAGCAGCACTTCTGTCAGTCTGTGTATTTAAAAGAGAAGCTCTCCAGTCTGTGACACTGCGGAGCTTCTTAATCCCAGCCTGATGGAATTCCTCGGTTGATTGCTCCTACGCTCGCTGCCTTTTAAGGACACATCTGCCAGGGCCGCAGCCTCCTGCAGACAAGCAGTTAGAGGCTCACAAATCAAACACTTAGGAACCTATTCTGTTCAAATGTGTCCCTGCGCTGTAAAAAAAACTAAATCCTTGTCCTTTCACTGTCTAAACATGTTGTTTGGGTAGGGAGGAGTGTGTACGTTTTCACATGGATGGAGAGCAAGTTTAAAGTGACCTACATGTTTTCCACAATTCTGATTCCTGCACACTATCTGCACTTAGTAGGAAAAAGTGCTTCATAAACCCTCAACTTTTTTATGCACTGGACAAATATAAAGTGGTGCAGATTTGTGAAACAGCTGTTGCTTTTTTGCTTATGATTTTTTTGTCCAACAGAAAGGAGAGAGCTGCCTTAATTTCGTCAGTGGATTTTTTTTTTTGCAGGATTCTCCTTTATTTAACCCATCATCAACTCAGACCAGCTTCCTTGCACCTGCTTTAGAAACCACCCCACAGCATGATACTACCACCACCACTGAGCTTTATTGGTTCAGGGTTGTGTACGGTGTTAGTTTATCTGGCTGTGTTCCTTAGCTGAATAGCGGATTACCCGTCTTGCTTTAGTTTGGTTGTTTCCAAGTCCTTTCCAGTTTTAGAGGATTAAAAAGTGTTCTATAAAATGCTCTTAGCTTTACATATTGGTTCTCCACACCCTGGTAGCTCTTAGAGAAATAGAGTGCAACAGTTACTCTGAGGAGTTACCTAACTGCTAAACAATGAGAACCTCAGAACCTTAATCGCAGTATGAATGTGGGCGTTCTGTGAAGGCCTTGGGGGTTTGCTAAGGAACATTATTGAAGGAATAGCATAATGAAGACTAAACAGAAAATACAAAATGACACAACTCAGAGTATCACACTAATAATTGGAGATTTGGAAACCTGTTGACAGGACAACTATTAGTTATACACGTCTGACCTTTATAAAGGATGACAAGAAAAATGTTAGTGTGTGAAATAGGTTTTAAGAAATCCAACTTGTATTAGGTCACAAGACAAGGGACAAAACTAGGAAATTTGGGGACAAAACTGAACTTTCTAGCTTACATACAAAACACAATGACTGATCAAATATTGACATGGTACTTCAACCTGAACACTGCATCACTGTGGGGATAGCTTCATGCTGCAGGTGTGCTTATTGCAGAGGGGCCAAAAAATGGATGGGAAGTATGTTGGAGCAAACAGGAGGAAACAGAAACCCTGTTAGAGCATTGACTGAATGCATATAAATGCCACATTTTTTCAAATATTTATTTGCAAACAAAAACTGTATCTCTTTCCTTCCATTTTACTATTAAGGACTACTTTGTGTTGTTCTATTACATAAAATCAAGTTAATTGCTTTAAAGCTTTTTACTGCAACATGAAAAAAACGCAAATGTTCTGTTGAAATGAACAGTTTTATTAGCGATAGTAAATGCAAGTTCAAACTCTAATGTAAATCGATAACCTACTCTAGTTTCTGCGTTGACTTATTTTTTATTTCTGCAGGGGGAACCAAAGAAAGAGAGCCGGAAGCAGGAATACCTGAGGAAGATGGGCTTCAGCCAGGAAGGGGAGGATGATATGAAAGGAGTACAAAGACAATCTAGTGTCACAACTAAAGAGGTTGCCCAGGTGGAGGACAGAAACAGCAATGGGTCTGAGGGTTTGAGGGAAGAGCGAAGCTGGCGTTCAAGTAGACACAACAGGAAGGCAGAGAGTGATACAAAGGAGGAGAATGAGGAAGAGAAATATGAAGATTACAGGCCAAGAGACAGGAGGGAAAACAGAGAGAGTACTGGGAGCAAAACAAAGGAGATGATCTCCAAATTACAGGAAAAAAAGGAAAATGGCAAAGAAAAGGAACGGAGAGAAGAATGCAGGAAAAGAGATGACAGCAAAACCAAAGACATCATTTCAAGGCTCCGTGAAAAAAGTGAGAAGGATGTGGGAAAAGAAAGGGAACGAAAATCCGAGAACATCAGGACACAAGGGCTTGTCTCCAAATTGGTTGAGAAGCAGACCAAAGCACCCGACAGCCAACCCACAGAGAGTAAAAAAACAGAGGATAAAACCAAAACAGAGGATAAAACCAAAACAGAGGATAAAACCAAAACAGAGGATAAAACCAAGCCCGAATCCAACAAGCCCACCGAGAAATCAGATGAGCAGATGAAACATGAAAAGACAAATAACAGAACAGATAGAGAGGAGCTGGTCAACCACAGCGACCATGTAAAAGAGAAATGTAATAAAGTCAGCACTGATATGAAAACTGAGCAGAAAAAGGATGATGCTAAAGAAAGTCCTATAAAAGGTGAAGAGAAAGAAAAACTTGGAAATTGTGTGGCCAAAAGCAGCCCGAGCAGCAAAACGAAGCAGGAGGAAGAGGAGGATGAAGACTCCAGCATGTTTGATGAGCTGATGGAGCAAGTTTGTAGCAATGACCCTTCACTCACAGAGCTCAACGTCAACAACTCAGAAGTCATCAAAGCAAAAACCCTAATTGCTTTTGCACAAGGTTTGCACAGCAACACCCACATCAAGACGTTCGCTTTGGCCAACTGCCGCGCTGACGACCACGTGGCCTATGCCATCGCCGCCATGCTGCGTAGCAACAACACCATCACCAGCGTCAACATGGACTCCAACCATCTCACCGGCAAGGGCATTCTTTCCCTGATCCAGTCACTGCAGTACAACGCCACACTGACAGAGCTTCGATTTCAAAACCAGCGTCACATATGCGGGGGGAAGACCGAGATGGAGATGGTCAAGATCCTGAAGGACAACACCACACTGCTCAAACTGGGCTACTGCTTTGAGTTAGCAGGGCCCAGGATGACCACCACCAACATCCTGAGTCGCAACATGGACAGACAGAGGCAGAAGCGCCTGCAGGAGCAGAAGCTGGCCCAGGCCAATGGGGAGAAGAAGGGGATGCTGGAGGTACCCAAAACAGGAGGTGGAGGGTCTTTGAAGAGCTCACCAAAGTCTTCTCCCAAACCATCTCCAATGCCTTCGCCAATGCCCTCCCCTAAGCTCACTCCCAAAAAACGAGCTGGAGGTCCTGCTCCTCCACCACCTCCACCTCCTCCAGGGGGTGGACCACCACCTCCTCCGCCTCCCATGCTGGATGGAGACCGCTCCGTCAGAGGCAAGAACTCAAGGGACCAACTGCTAGCCTCGATCAGAGGAAGCAACATTAAACAGCTAAAGAAGGTAAGACAAGTAAGAAAAGGCTTTTTGTACATGTCAGTTCATTCTGATAGACTCACATCTTATCCCCCTACTTCCAGGTTCCAGTACCAAAGTGGCTTCAGTGACACTTCCTGATGGCAAGAATGAATTGGACAAAAAGAAAGGGAGAACACACATCTCACCACAGGTTTTCCAGGAGATAAAGGTCCTGTAGCCTCCTGGAGAATGGTGCATCAGAAAGGATGGAAAAATCCTCTATGAGTTTTCTCCCCTCAAACACTGGACCAAACGGACTCTGTGGAGAACAAGCGATACAGGGCCACGCAGAGAGTGCCATGAAATGTTTTCTCTTCCGTTCATATTGATGCTTCTTTTGCACTACATAATATGAAGCCGCTCATTGTTACATGTTGGTGTGTACAGTGGATATCACAGGTATATACAATCTTATCAAAACGGTGTACAAGAAGACGGTGAGAAATCATACTAAAGCTGTTTTACTTTTATTGTGACAGATCCTTTACGAATGATCAGAAATCAAACAAATCTGTTGGTTGAATCAGTTGTGTATACAAAAAACCTGCAATAACAGTTTTCTTATTTGATGAAAAGACTGTGAAAATCCCCCCCTTCTGCCTCTGCAATATTTGGTCACTCAACCATGCATGACTCTCTACTTCCAGCATCCATCGTCACATGATCACAACTTGTCTGGAGAAACCATTCTTTGGTTTGGATCACTTTTCTGTGTCAAAAACAGCTAAAAAGTATCGGTGAAAACTTTTTTTTGCTTGTTTTTTTAATCATCTCCTAATTGGTACCTTTGGAACAAATCTGACAGTTTGTAACCTACCCATCCATCTTCTTCCACTTATCTACCATGGGGCTGGTGTCTGTCTCAGACAGTCTACAGATGAATGGAGGGATACATCCTGGGCAGGTTGCCAGTCCACAGCAGGGCAGCACACACACCGCAGGATAATTTAGAGATGCAAACCAGTCCTGTTTTTGGACTGTGGTGGGAAGCAGGAGTACCCAGAGAGAACCCACAAATGCTAGAGGCGAACATGCAAACTCCATGCAAAAAGTTTCCAGACCCAAAAGTAAACCCAGAACTGTCTTGCTGTAATGTACAGTAATAGGGCTACAAACTGCATCACATTGCAGCCCTGTTTTTTTTGCAAAATAAGTCATTTGAACAGGGGTTACTTGGATTCATAATAAGTGGTAGATTTAATCTTTAAATGGTTAGTGGTATTAGCACTGTAATTGGATCCAAGTGTGCTTCAGCAGAGACTTAGTTTAAAGGTGTGGACGCTTATGCAGCCAGGTCATTGCAGCCTTTATGAACAGATTTGTTTGTTATATTTTGACTGTTTAGGATGCATGTCACATTAAAGGTGGTGAACATTTTGACATAATTCATAATTCATAAACCTTTGTTTGATCCACTGTACATGAATCGAGTTGAATTCTCCTGATGAGCTTAGTTTCAGATAATTATAATAAAATTACTACTTAAAGGGAGTGCATCACTGATGTTTTTGCCATGAATTTGACCCATTATTTATTAGCAGAGGATCCACAGCTGAAGGTCTGTTAAAACTGAGTGGAAATATCAGGGATTTAACAAACACAGAACCCAGCTTCAGCAAATCCACGAAAAAATTAATTGCGGGAACCATTTTGTTTGGTATTTTTTTTTTTTTTTTTTTTTTTTTACATCTCAAAACATCTCAGACCTTCCAGGGAAATCCTGAAACTAATGAGGGATTTTTTACAACGGAATTACTTACATACTGCCATTTATCAGTAAATGGTCCTACGGTGTCTAACATAATCTTGTAAAAAAATCCTTCCAGCCTTGCTGTTTTATTACCCTACTTAACTTTCTTTTAATACTTCAAGTCTTAACTTTTTACTGGTTTAAACGTTTATCTTAATATCGGTCTGAAAGGAACTAGACACTATGTGGTGAACTAAATTCAGAGCTATCAAAGATACACACACGTCTCTTTTACGCACGCATCTCTGACAGAGCCTGTATGCCTTTATTAACAAGTTCTGGTACGTTTGTGAGTGATAAATTCTGTCTGCCTCATAGAGTAATTTGCTCATTGTGTATGTAATAAATATGAATGGATTTGATATTGAGTGTTTGATACATTTCACATGTTTTTCAGTCTGCATGAATCCAAACATTACAACGCCTTGGAAAAGTTCATATTCCATGGACATCTTCACATAATGTCATTTCACGGACTTTGATGTTACGTAATATGTTTTTATGACTTACCAACTTACCAAAGTACAGCAGTATTGTGAAGTAAAAGGATTTGAAAGAATAGAAATATAAAGAAGTATGATATTTATTTATCTTCTGTCCTCTCAGTGAATTTAATTTTTTATTTTTTGCTAAATTGAGCTGCATTTCTTTTGCACGTACATTTAATAAGATGGAAAAATATGTCAAAATTACTTTTTAATACTTGACACAGATACTCTGGACTTCAACTAAGCAATTTCAACACAAGGATATACAGTATGTGGGTTGAAGTCATTCCATTGTTAGACTGGCTTATACTCAGAGTTTCTGTTAGTCATTAGTTCTGCTGCTGGTTGAGAAAAGCACCTCACAGTGTGACTCTGCCACCACTTTTGTTTTAAAGTGGGAATGGTGTTATATAAATAATTGTCTTTGTAGCAGCCTAACTACACAGAGCACTTTCTTCTATATGTCTGATATATATATATATATATATAATCTTAAGCAAAACTGATTTATCTTGACAAATGTTTCCTTTTTCCCACTCTTCTTAAAGCTCCGGATTTGTAGGCTGCACAGCTAATGATAATCTTGTCCAAACGTCCTGCATGTCCTTCAGAGTTACCACTTGCTCGTGGCTGATCCAGTGATTAATGCTGGATGAACCATGTCTTATTAGGTCTTTCTCTAACCTTTGTCTTCATGATGCAGTTAGTTCTCTAACAGTCCTCTGATTACTTCACTAAACTCTATTTAAGAGAGATTAAATTGCACATATGTACTGTAGTTAGGTGAGGCTGGATAGGTGTACTGCAGATTATTTGGGGTAATTTTCTAAATAAATAGTTTAAAAAACAAAATAATGTTCTTTCACTTTGTATTTATTAGTCTGTCACATCAAATACACCAAAGTGTGCAAGTGGGACGTAAAATCGGCAAAGCACCATACTCATCCAACAAGTAGAGTAGATATATAAATGACTCCTGGGATGTGTAAGAAAATTAAACTTTGTTTAATTAGAAAACTGCTTAGTTCAGTTATAGGAAAAGGGGAAAGTGGTGCAAAAACCTGAAAAAACACTACTTTGATGTTCATCTGGTTAGGCTGGATGTTGCAGCTACTGCAGTCTGGAGAACAGTGTAAAGCTGCGTTTGTTTGCATCATTGCTATTGCTGTGTACTAAAAAAGACATTCCAGAGCAACAAAAGCTCGGCTGTATGCCACAATTAAACTTCAAGGGTGATGTTTAGGAGATTTAAATTAGGTAAAATCAACAAATATACAGATCAATCTATATTATTTCTCTGCTTTAAAGAAAGCTTTAAAAAAAAGCAAACAAATAGTCCCCAGTTAAACTTTATATATATATATATATATAAAGATGTATTGAAAGACTAATCAATAATGCATGACATTTGCTCATGATCTTGCTTGTTGTACCTTTTAAGCTGCATTAAAACATCAGGATTATATTGTGACTAAACTGTCTGAAATGGTGGACATCATCCTAAGAGAGCTAGGAGCTAGAAGCAGAAGAGGAGAGCAGCAGCAACAACAGCTCAGTTTATCTCTCCAAACGCAGCCTCAGTCTCTGTGTCCATGAATTGACCGTATTTGGTCATTTCTCAATGAGGGCTCACTCCTTAGAGCCATTCCTTTCCCCCTTTCTAATAATGGGCTGTAGGCCAGCTGTCTGTCTCTGGGCTGTGGCTGCTCCCCTGACCAACAGCGCTATTCTCTGATGGAGGAAAAGAGGGAAAGGAATGAAAACGTTGGGATTATTGAGTCTAAGCCAACAGTGGAGGCTCCAGGAAAATATGGTCATCATTTAAACAGAGGAAAAATACTTAGAAACTTAGCCATCTTTTCCCATATATACCATAATGAGGACTGAGGTTTGACTTTGTATCTCACATTTCTGCTTTGTAAAACACTTGCAAAAAAAAAAAAAACAGGAACAATAAATCTGTGTAGAAAAATATGTATCATGCTTATCGCCACAGATAATGATTTAATGAAGTGTGAAAAAATAGTTGATCAGCGTGCTGGATCTACAGCCATAATGTAGATTATAGAGCAGCTAACGGCTACAGTATGAGAAAAGAAACAGGCTTGTCTGACTGTTCAAGTGTGAAAGCTTTGCACCTGTACAGAGATTTAAATGTATAAATTACTCAGTGGTGGAAATATGAGTGCAAAAGTAAACAGACACTAAAATTAGTTATTGCTTATATTATGAACTGACCACTGAAAACAGAAGAACTAAATCCTTATATTCTCTTAAAACAAGTTTTCTTTAAATGAAATTGTTTGAAATTTGAAATAAAAAAAATACTCCTTAACAAAATGAAAATATAACAAAGAACAAAATTTAAAATGGTTCTTGTTACACTTTTTTTAAGCAGTCTGACAAAGATACAGGTTGTTAGTATTACTGTAAAATCTATGATAAAACAAAAATATAATATTTGATATACAAAGAACAATAATAATGTTATTTCCAAAGTAGTTCAGAGGTTTATCCTCTGCGTCTCTCAAGTTATGTAAACTCTTTGCTCTTTTTTTTTCCAATAACATAAAACAAGCTGGTTTTCAATTCAATTAAGTTCAGTTTATTTATATAGCGCCGATTCACAACACAAGTCATCTCAAGGCACTTTACAGTTCAACCAGATCATACAGTCAAATTGATTCAAAGTTTTCTATCTAAGGAAAACCGACTCATTGACTCAAATGCAATCCCTCACACCAAGCATGCTTGTAGCGACAGTGGAGAGGAAAAACTCCCTTTTAACAGTGGGAAACCTCCAGCAGAACCAGGCTCAGTGTGAGCGGCCATCTGCCGAGGCCGAATGGGGTTCAAGGAGACAGAAGCAGAGATACAAAAAGCAGCAGTCCAGGAAACAGACAGCCAGGCAGACGAGCTCAGAGCCAGCTCCCATGTCAGAGGATGAAGAGAGCACATCCAGCCAGTCACGGTCAGAGAAACAGGACTACACTGGAAAACAGGCCGATCTCCAGCATCTATAAACAAGGGCGTTGATGGAAGCAGCACAGCTGATATTTCTCTCCAGGATGGCGTCACAGCCAAACAGGAACAGATTAGGCAAAGCTACTATGAGAAAAAGCAGAGAGAGCATAATGTTAGAGATTGCACTAACAGATTCTGCAGAGTAGGAGAATAGAGACTTGCAGCGACTGCTTTTAGTTTTATTGTCAACTGTTTACATCTTTATTTTTTAGCGCAGGTACTGGACTTATGCAAAAAAGTTTTTGAGGAACTTATTTAGAAAACATTAAAGACTTTGGATAGCTATTCATCAAGAAATGTTTGAATTATTATTTGTAACCCTGAGTCTTTTTAAACAAAATGATGATATTATTAAATGGTAAATAGATTGTATCTGTATAGTGTTTTATCAAGTTCCAGGACTCCAAAGTGTTTCACACCGCATTCAGTGATTCCTCCATTCACACAGATATTCACAAGCTGACTGTGATAAGCTACATTGTAGCCACATCTGCTCTGGGTCAGACTGATTGAAACCAGGCTGCCATGCAAGTGGTGCCACCGAAACCTCTTACCACCAATACAACAAAAATATGAAGTAACAACGTTAGTTTAACTTTAAAAAAATTTGATCTTGGAATCCTGACAAAACTGATCTTCTTTTCTTTTCTTTTTTTTTTTTTTACATTATGTATAAAAAGACAAGCAAGTAGGGGTAATTAAAACATACCTAGAAGTATGGTGTTGCATTGCAGTTATGGGAAAAGCAAATATGCCATGTGACCAATAGGTGGCGCTAAGGATCCTCCAATGTTGGTTGGTTATGTTAAACGAAAAAACGCAGTTTTCCTTCATTATCTGAGCAAACAAAGAGAAGACACAAATTCTATATCTATAGTTTTTTATGATATGTACAGACTTGTTTGAAATATAGATATTTTTAACTCATAGATGTTTTTACAGTAACTGACTCTCAAGGTGGGTTTTTTGGTATACCTAAAATGTTACTAAGCCCACAGGGTATTAGGAGCAAATTCTGCCTGAAATTACATATGTGAATTAAAGCAAGTACACCTCCCAAACATGTATAATTGTTTGTTTTTGTGTGACAGAAAGACATTGAGGAATATTTTTCAGGTGGAACAACTATTTTAAATGTCACCACGTCTGATTTATAGGTGATTAAATAAAGAAAACATTCAAAATATTTAGCCTTGCCAAATTTTTTCCAAAATATCCACTGAAAAATCCCCAAAAAAACCCATATGAAACTATGGATAAACCCTCAGATTTTATAGATCCACATCTTGACTATAACTCAAGCAAATTTGGACTGAATAAGTTGAAGCATGTTTGTTCCACAAAGGTTTTAGTGGGCAGTGTGCTAGGCAGAAATGTGATTTGGCACAGTGGTGCAAAAGTGGCCAAATTGTGCCAAATGCATTTTTTCCACTCACAAAAGGGAACCTGGCCAGACAAATATGCTGATTTACATTATTGAAAACCTTCTGCATAAGGCAAAGCCTTTGCTCCTTAAATGTAACCATTGTTTAATTGAAATTTACCATTGAACACACCATGAAATCACCAAACTAAATAGAAAATAAGAACAACAGCGCAAGCTTATGTAACACATGCTGGTTACATCACCTTAAATGGTCGCCCAATTACCTCAAACCCCTCTTTGGAAAAGTCCGAGCTTCTAGTTTCCAATTATGCTGGCCATTGAGGATGGGGCTAAAAATGACTACCTGCTGTTGCATTAAATTACAGAGTCACACATGTCAAGTGGAATGTTAAATCTCATTGTATTTGCTTACACAGCCATAAAACAAAAAGTATTTGTGAAAAATAATTTGGAAACATGTTTTAGAAATTTTAAAGCCCAATTTGAAAGGTGTGTGGATGAAACACCACCTGACTGAGTTTTGATAATTTCTGTAAACAGATAAACATGAGCAGGTGTCAGATGGGCCCTGTACCGGGCCTGTCGCACCCGAGAGGTTAAATACATTTACCTGGAAAAGTGGTCTCATAGTCTTAAGAGATAGAAACTCTATTTTAGAAAAGGAATAGAAAAAGCGAACAGATGAAATAAAGTCAGTCATATGTCAAAATATTGAAGAATGAGAAGTAAAGCTAAAAATGAGAATATTCTGACAAGTGCAATATTTATGAGTCTGATATTTTTATAGTTTGTAATATATAATGGAAAGGGGGATATTTTAAACAGAACTTTAAGACCTGTGAAAAGCTCCACTGATTATTTTATGGATTTTGGTTGACAATCCTCTCAAGCTTACCATCATCCCTGTTGTCTGGTGTACCTTTTTCTAACACTTGTTCCTTCCACTAAACTTTCTATGAATGTACTTGGAAACAGCAGTCTGTAGCGACAGACAACCACTTTCTTTAGCAGCGACCTTTTTGACTTAACCTTCTTGTGGGAGATGTCAGTGACCATCTTCTGGACATCTCTCAATTCAGTTTTCCTGAATGATTGTGTAGCTGATTAATCCAGGCGGATATACTACTACCAGAAGCTCAGGAAGGTGTCTCTCTGTATAATTTAATTTCTACCTACATTTATTTGTTTATTGTATTTTTGGTGGGCAATTAATTCTATGCTTATTTATTTTTGGAGCATTTATTTATTTCTGTATTTATTTTTAATTATGGTAGGATTGGTCCTCCATAAATAACACTGCATATTCTTTTCAAACTAAACTTTGCTTTAAACTGTAGTGTGCTTGGAAAAATATAAATTGTACTGTTAAAAATCTAAAAAAAAAAAAACTTGACAGGTTAAAAGCTTAAGATAAATCAATGTCACAAATGAATAACCTATTTTAGAGTCACAGTATGTGTATACAAGATAATACTATTAATATATTGTGACTTTTCTAGAGAATCATTATACATAGTTATTTTATACAGGGTTTCCACAGTCTTACATAATTTCAGAATTCCCTGACAAAATAAATGCAGCAACAAGACAATAATAATAACATAACAGGTCACCAATTTAACATGTTTAGCTTTATAACATTTAAATGCACCTCTCCATTGTCTGAGAGAAAAAAATTGTATGAAAATGTTTCAATGTATGACCACTGTACAGAAGTGCTTTCTAGCTTGTTTGTCGTTTTGGTAACTACATCCAAATTACCGCAAGGTGGACAAAAATCACGCCATCTGGCGGAAAATCTCGCGTTTTTTTCTAATCACGCGTCTTTTTCAAATCACGCGAGAATGTGTACAAAACAACAAAAATGGCGCCGGCTGGGTCGTTTTCAGCTTTTGAGTGATAAATAATTTTTTTTGCGATCACTGCACTTGCCCGGTGGGCAAATGCAATGAAATTTGTACTCTCCCGACAATAAAAAGTACTTGCCCCGGGCGATCGGGCAATGGTTAACATCGAGCCCTGCAGCAGTATATGTGTAAATGTTAAATGTGTGAGATGTGTTAGTACAGCCTTTTGCCCAAAAGATGGCAGTATTCAGTTTCTATTCTGGTTTACGATTATCCAATCGTCATAGAAAAAGAAGCCGAAGGAGAACTTACGTCAGTGGGGAAGATAGACGGAACAAAATGGAGGAGTATGCTAGAGAACCCTGGTAAGTTTTGTTACAACATAAAATGCTATTTTAGTAGTTTGTGTTAAAAAGGCGTTGACGGTGGTTTCAATTTGAATTACCATGTCATTCGGATTTCATCATTTTTAGTGTTGCAGCTTGTAAGACATTTAAAACATCTAAGCTGCCTCGGTTAGCTGGCTAACATTAGCTATAATGCTAAAACCCCATTGGAAATGAATAGGTTGTGCTAACATCAGGTTTCACGGCTAAATCACGTTGTTAGTGACCTTGTCGGCTTTTTCTTCCACATGTCACCTCAATACATTCAGCGGTTGAAGAATATCAGATTATGAATAAGAAATCACATACTATTCCCCCTTTATTACCGTCCCCAAAATAAAACTTGTCGTTTTTGTGGTGAATTTAGACCTTTCAGCTGTTGTTTATGTAGCAGTTTTATAAGTTAGCCACTTATGTGCTAACCTCATAGGAATTACACAACATCAGTTTACCTTTATCTTTTTCCTTAATAAAATTGACCTCTATCCTCATGTTAAGGTTGATATAAATCCAGTTCTATCCTTAGGCAGCGCTGTCTTAAATCATACAATTGTAAAATAATTAAATTTTCATAGTCTATGAAAATATTTCTGATAATTACATTTATATATGAAGTTTTTTTTAATGAAAAATAAAAAGCCTGATGATTTAGTAACTTAACTACTGAACATTTTTAATTTATAGCTACAAAATTATATAAAAGGTCTATATAATATTGAATATTTAATTTAGAATGACACCAGGTCACCTTGGAGGAACATACATGACACTGGCATATCTTATCAGTTCTATATGCTACTTAATGATAATTGATAATTATTCAAACTTTTATTTGTGTAGGAACTTTTTGTCCATCAAGTGATAAAGACAAGACTTGAAAAGTATTAAAACAGTTTTTAATACAAAGTACTTATTCTTAAAACAACATCACTTAGAGAGCTCTAATCACCTATGCTCCAGATTATGTCAGTTTTTGACCAAACATAATGCTGCTTATCCCTACAGTCCCAGAAACTATTATTCCTTATGAAAAGTTAGGTAGAAGCAAAACCTTCCAGCTGTCTTTTTTCTGTCTTGGAAATTTTAAATAAAACAGTTTGAATATTTTGTTTAATTTCTCTTTAGTCTTGTAGGAGAGCGCGTTTTTTTTTTTTCTTTTTATGTGTTCTGCACCTTCTGACTTGTTTACTTTGGAAGGTTTTCTTAAATGAGCTTGCTTAGTTAAAAGAACATTATGCTTAAACGAAATGCACATGATCATAAAAAAATGTCATGCTTGTAATTTGTGTCGTATTCTCAATTCTAGAAGGGAAGTTTAACAGTTATTTGAAGATTGTTTTTATAATACACTTTCAGAAACCAAAGTACTGACACAGGACCCAATGGATGCATCTTCACTTATTTGATCTGTCCACTCTATGTGAACTTAAATTAAAATCCGACCTGTGTCTAAAAAAGACAAAGCTATTAGAAATCCAGACGATTCCTGGGGCATTTTGCTGAAGATCATTTCTGCGAGTAGAAAAAGATCTGTGTCCTTGGAAACAATCATTGTGCATTTTCTCCATGTGGCTATCAAAGGCACACAATAAATTGCTAGCATGAATCAATATTGTTGTGTCTGTATTTTACCATTATAGTTCTAAAACTAGGCAGTGTTGAAATTTAGACCTGACAGTGGCAAAAACACAAAAGACACCAGACTTACTCATCAGATGAGATAATTTGGATGAAAAGCTAAATTAAAAAAAGTTAAGGTGTAAAGCAGAGGAGGAAAAACTTGTCAGAAAGTGAAAAAATACTGTCCACATATTCAGTTGATAATGCAAAGTTCAGGTTATGTGGAAGACGGCAGACTATTCACAGAAAACAGTGCAAAATGCACGACTTTACAAACTTTTTAGAGACTCTTTAAAGTGTGGAAATGCAATACATAAGCATCTAAAAGATACGGTAAATGATTCCTGATCAGATCAAGAACCTGTGAAACCAGTTTCATGTTTGTAAACTTCTGCTGATTTTATTTTATTTTTTTGGTTGCAGCAGAGATTATGACATTAAGGAATGACTGAAGCAATATGTTTGCATTTATAAGTGGTCCTCAGAGAGCACCTCACTGATCATTTAAGATTTATTTAAGAGAATTTCAGTCTCAATGACAGTTAATGACAGCTAATTGTTTTCCTACTTTCAGTCCCTGGAGGATTGTGGATGATTGTGGTGGAGCTTTCACCATGGGAGCCATTGGAGGAGGGATATTTCAAGCAGTAAAAGGTTTCAGAAATGCACCATCGGTAAGTTAACTGGTCCTTGAACACGTTTGCATGTCTGCATTGCCAGAGCTGCCATCAACAATACTGTCCTTGTGGCTCTAACACTTATCCAAGGATACTAAGATATATAAATGAGACCTCAGTCTGTGTGTGTGTTTGCTTTTGTCTTTTTTTCTACTTTTAAAGTTCTGTTTTTTTTTTTTTCTGTTTTGACTACACTGGTCTGAGAAGCAGTTTCCGCTAATCAATGTTTTTTGCTTCGGTTTGCAGGGAATGAGCCACAGAATGAAGGGTAGTTTAACTGCTATTAAGACCAGAGCTCCACAACTAGGAGGTACGAACAAACGCCAAAAAGCTAATGGCTATTTCATTAACACCTGATCAGGTTCTATTATGATCATGACATATTTAGATTTTCTGCACTATGGAGACTTAATTTTCCGGTTGAAACACATCTTAGGTTTATGTTTCCTATATAAGGACTCATGATAGCCTAGATATTTTCTGCTATCCATTTATGTGTCTATGTATGTGTGTTTCAGGTAGTTTTGCAGTGTGGGGAGGCCTCTTTTCTATGATCGACTGTGGTTTAGTAAAAGTGAGAGGTAAAGAGGATCCCTGGAATTCAATTACAAGTGGGGCCATGACGGGAGCCATCCTCGCAGCGAGAAGTGAGTACATTAGGACTGAAGCTCAAAGTTGATTAATAACTTTTCCTGCTGTTGTAACTACAGGCTCCCTGTATTAATGGTGTTTGATGTGTTCATAGATGGACCAGTAGCCATGGTGGGCTCCGCTGCTATGGGAGGTATTCTGCTGGCCTTGATAGAGGGCGCTGGAATCTTGCTCACAAGATTTGCTTCAACACAGTTTCCAACTGGTGAGTACAACATTTCATTAGACTGTTCTACATGGATAGCTTAACATTGAAGCTTAAAGTTTAGGATTACTTTTAGGTATGAAAACATATAAATGTTTCCTTCTTTATTCCAGCTTAAACATTGGGCCCTCTATATGATTATTTTAATATAAAGTTTAGCATCACCTTAGATTGGTTTATCTCTACATGAAGGATGACGTCTGCTTTGGCAAACGGAACAATGTTGGCTGTAAACCAGCTTTGCTTCTGGTTGCTCGTCACCTGACGTGTATGTTTACTTTACAGTAAGAGAGTTCGTAACCTTTTTTTCCTGCTAATAATGCTTCAGACTAAAACAATCTCCCATCTCCAGGCAACCAGAGAGTTAGAAAGGCTTTCAAAAACTGTGGATGTTAAATAACCCAAACAGGTTAAATTGTTCAATTATTAATGAGAGGTTATGACCGTATTAGAACATAGAGGGTCCAATAATACCATCAGAAAAGGTCAGTTTTGCTCTTTTTTTATGAAGTGTTGAGATTAAATAAAAAAAACTTGACCTTTATATAATTAGATCTCCCAAACCCAATACAGCTCATAAAATACATTTATCTGCAATTGTTCTGTAATTCTGCTTGTGTTTTTTTTTAAGTGCAATAAATATAACATATTTCTAAATGCAATGAGTAACTATTTATAGTATCTCAGGACTTAAACTTTCATTTTTATATTTAGATATATAATATGAATAACAGAAAAGCTGCTTTGATTATAATTATGAAAAAGGTGATACCTACATTTATTCCATTCAGGCTAAAAATTTGAATTTATCTTGTTTTCCTCTAGAATTTTACTGAATGTCAGAAACGTTTGTTTTGATTAAATATGTTAGACATACAGAATTTTCCTCTTAGATTTGATTTATGTTGTGTCCGACCTCTGGTTGGCTATCATGTTATTCTTCTAATACATATATATATTTTTTTCTTCTGTAGGGCCCCAGTTTGCAGAGGAACCTGCCCCCGCTCCCATTCCCACCTCCCCCTTTGGAGACTACAGACAATATCAGTGAGAGGGCCACACTCCCCTCTTCACACACTAGATGTTTTTAAATTCCTTGCTGAAGTTAAAAAGAAAAGATGAGAGTGCAGAATGCAATCCTGTCTTTCTGTTTAAAATCTAGACCCATTGTTAAGAACTGTTAGAGGAAATGAATGACAGAACTCATCTTCATTTTTCTTCTTTCACGAGACATGCACAGATCTGCCTTTTGCCTTTCTCCGCCTTTTCACGTGCATCTGTGTCGCTCCGGACAGCACTGGGGTAGAAGTTGTTTGTTTGGACCAGATGCACCTTCTGATTTGTTGACATGCACATATCCTAGGAATTGAGCTCTGACAGTGTTTAATCCGAGAAAAACATGGAACATAATGAAGATTATTTGTAAATATAGTAAGGACTTGTTTTATGTTTTCACCTGTCAGTCTTTTTTGCCTTCCATGTCGAATGCTTGAGTTGGCCGACGACTCTCGGCTGGCCTTCACATTTTACTCTGAGTTATGGAGGGAAACTATTTACAGAAACAGATCCATTCCTTAAATATTAATTTGTTTAAAGGTAATTTATTTATTCTTGAGTATAAAGAGGTATCAAATTGTTCTGTTGTATTAGAGCGATTTTTAGATTCAAAACAGTCAGAGAAATACTGCTAAGGATAAGAATGGCACCGGCAGTTCATTTCAGCAGAGCATCTCAAGCAAGGGATCGATGGATAATGTTTTAAATCTGTATAACAGATTGTACTGTGGTATAATAAAGATTTAAATTGTTAAATGTTGGCTGAAGTATGATTAAGTTTATCTTGTTGATTCATTAGGGCTGCTGCTTTAACATAATTGAATTTACCCACTAGAGGGAACTCTTTGTGAAAACATCCATACTAATGTCTTTTCTCCAAAATAGGACAGTTTCAGTGTTCAAGCTGAACAAGTGACACATGAGGGAGCACTTAGTCTGCATTTTCAAAAGGTTGTGTCATATGCCTGTCTCTTTAAAGTCTGGCATTTACCATATGTGGAACATGCTGGACAAAAAAAAGGCTTTTATAGGATGTGATGCAACAGAGGAAACAGAGATGGTCTAAAACTGTTGCTCTACTGATTCCTGAATAATATCTTCAGGGTTTTTGTAAAGTCACCTATTGCATGGTTTAAACACTAAGTGAATATGTCCAAAAATATTTAGCATGTCTTTATAAAGATTTAATGATCGGGGGGTGTTATGTGAGAAGATAAAAGGCTCATGCCTTATTAAAAAGAACATGGGTCTCCTTTTTTCAGTTGTTTTATTCACTGGCATGAGAAAAAAAGGACATTTTAAGCAAGAAGATATTGTGAGTTAGTGATATAAATCAATATAAAATTTGCACAACAATTAACACTGCCAGGATTACACTAAAAGTACCTTGCAAATATATCATTTTTTAAAATTACAACCTTTTGGTAACCCAAATGTGAGGATATTGTTAATAGGATAGACCGACAGACTGTTATAAAGCCTAATGATAAAACTTAAGTTTTTCATTAATGTATTTAATCCCCAGGTGTTGTAAGTAGGATCAATAAGTTACTTGTATTGCAGGGAAATGTCTGCCACACTTCTTAAACTTTTTATTAAAACTGTAAATATTCATCATTTTCCTTTTATTTTAAATAACTTTTAATTTGAATGTTTGCCTTTCAGGAAAAAAAAGCCAATTGACAGATTTGAGTTACATAGTTTTAATTCAACCTTTATTTAACCAGAAAATGTCCCAATGAGATTAAAAATCTCTTTTAAAAGAGCCTCCTGGCCAAGACAGGCAGCAGCTTTGTTACATATCAGTTTAATGAGCTTTCAACATACAAATATTTCCAAATTTAAAATGACAGTACAAAACATTTTCCAAAAACCAACTTAACACACTACCTTCAAACATTCACACTATAAGACCCTCAAGAGAAGCAGTTGAATACAAATGGTTCTGCATCCCTGTTAAGTAAGGAAGAATTTAATGAGACCCACTCACTTATTTTTAAACCTTTCTGTAAAGATTTACATGCACTGGGGGGGCAGCTAAGTGAAAAGCCTTTCCCCAGTTCTATCCTAGCTTATGGAACAACGCAGTGACAAAGGATAAGTACTGCAACACTGTGTGCTTATAGAAAAGTTAAGTCTTATTCACCTTTAGAGAAGTCTTCAAATAGGTTCCACTTGCTTTAACCTTTAGCTCCTTGTGTGTGGATTTTTTTTTTACAAAGAAACTGGAAGTCGAATGAGTTTTTTTTTTAATCTTTAAATGCTTTTTAGTTGAAAGTGAACGAATATGAAGCAGCCTCAATGATCTGTAATTGATATTAGTTGATATGTTTTCATTTTTATGTATCTCTGTTTCTTATGTAACTTTGCTGCCTCTTGGCCAGGCTCCCTTGAAAAAGAGGCTTTTAATCTCAATGGGATTTTTTCCCCTGGTTAAATAAAGGTTAACTAAAAAACAACAACCTTTGGTTAACAAAATTTGAGTCCAGAATGGTTCTGGAAGATGTTATTGATACAGACTACAGCTAAAAATGTCAATATATTCTTAATAAAAGGAGTAAAGTTCTACCATTATATGATATATAATCAATTACAACTTAATTGAAAACATTATTGGGCCACTTATAATACTGACAGCTATCCACTAAAGTTGAAATAGCATTCTTAAATGCATGAATTTTATGTTGCAGGTAAGCCTGGAAACACATTGCAAACATGCATGATTTAAAATAATCCTTATACAGGTTAAAACTGTTAAAAGTGGTGCTCAGAATTATGACTTTTGTCTCCGAATTCTGACTTTAATCTCTGAACTCTGACTTTTTTGTCAGAATTCTGACTTTAATCTCAGAATTTTCTTTCTCAGAATTCTGACTTTGATCTCTTAATCTCAGAATTTTTTTCTCAGAATTCTGACTTTGATCTCTGAATTCTGACTTTTTCCTCAGAATTCTGACTTTTTTTTCTCTGAATTCTGACTTTAATCTTAGAATTATGACTTTTTTTCCCCTCAGAATTCTGATTTTAATCTCAGAATGTAGATTTTTTTCCCAAGAGTTCTGACTTTGATCTCAGAATTCTGACTTTAATGACATTAATCTCAGAATTCTGACTTTAATCTCAGAATTCTGACTTTAGTCTCAGAATCCTGACTTTTTTCTTAGGACTCTGACTTTAATCTCAGAATTCTGACTTTTCTTCCCCTCAGAATTCTGACTTTAATCTCAGAATTCTGACTTTAATCTTAGAATAAGGACTTTTTTCTTATATTATACAGAAATAAAATTTAAAAATCAGTTTTTTAAGTTTTTTTCAGTGGCCATAATCCTCTTCTGTAGTAGGGTCCATGTGTCATACCCTTTTAAGAAAAGCCCCCATCAGTCCTGGTGACGTCCGCTGCCACTGGAGGAGAAACTCCACCAACTGACACTTGCGGAGCGGCAGAGACAGTCAGCCAGAGACGGTGAGCGGCGCTGGACAAACTTTACTACGTGCTAAACGCGCTCAAATAAGTCACGTCGGAGTTCGTGGCGTGGACACTTGCGGGAGCGGACACGATACAGTGAGTGGGCTGTGTTTGCTTGGGTTTTTTTGTTCTCGGGGAGGGAATAGAATAATTGCCTAAAAGTCAAAACCAGAGTGAGCACTCCCCATTTTAGTCAAGGCCAAGCGGAAGGGCAGGTAACGTTAGCTATGGGTTTATGACATTTTCTTTCGAAATGTGAAGTATTTCGCCGTAATTAACAACCTGCTATGTGTGGTGGACCGTTTGAATTATTAAACGAGCTCGGGTGCCGGACATTCCTGAAGCTGACTGTGTTTTGGTAACACTCAAAGGAAAGGAATGTGTCGGGCTGGTTAGCTCGGCTGCTAACGAGCCGCAGCTAACGGTGTGAGCAGCAGCCTGTTAAGCTGGCTAGTTAGCGGCATTTTGCTAACGAGCTTCATAACGGGACTTTGGCTCCTTGCTTGAATCCAGATTGCCGGCAAACTGACGTTCATAATTACTTGGATTGGATATTTTATTATAGGAGAGGATTTAGCTGTAAGCAGGCTTACGATTTGAGCTGTTTGATTAATGTTATGATAGAATATTATGATGATCTCTAGAGGTCGACCTACAAACTGATGTTTTCCAAAGCAGTTCAACACAGGACGGATTTAACGACGTAGATTTATTTGGTCTAGTTGATCAGCATCACGGGTAAAGGCAGAGAAATAGGTCTCCAATGGTACCTGCATCGCAGATTACACAAAGTAGAGGAAAGTTATTATTTTGAATCCAATTTGGTCTGTAGAAACATCGAATTGGCTGCTGTGGACCCAGAACATACACATATTTTCCTCACTTATATCAGTTCTCACAGCTAGGGGTTAGGATCTTTCTATTGCATAGGTATATACAGTGTATTTCATCTAAAAGTTTGCATACATTTGTGTTAATTTCCTTTAAAATCCACCACTTGTGTGACTCATGACAAAGGATGTTGTATGCAAAACAACACAGATCCTCCATAGATTTGTCTGGCTTTTAATTTGTTTAGTTTTCTAAAGTGTGGTGGATGCTGATAATATATAAATATAATTTTTAAGACACAAATCTGCTTATAAGTTGGCGAGTAATCAGTTGGTCCACCTCCACTAATTATGTGTGTTGGTTACAGCTCTGTGGTGTTGTCAGAGCCACAGATTGCAGGGATTTAGGATGACCTGGAGTGATAAGCATATGCCACAGCCTTTAGCAAATTAGGTAGTCACAGCGAGATAACCCAAGAGCTGCTGGCTCCATTCCTCATCTGACTCCATGGGTTGTGTAGGGTATTGCAGAGTATTTTAACTGGAGATAATGAAGCAAAACAGGGAAGGTGTGCACTCTGTCATCCAAATGTAGGCACACAGACTGCTATATTTCAGTTTGGCCTGAGAAGCAGATATCTCAGGAAAGAGGCCTGTTGATTTAAACACTACATGTCAATTTTAAGTAGTAATTAAATGAATAGTAAAAATAAACATTAGCTACCCTACTATATATCTATATCTTGCTCCTTT